ATAAGAATTGGATAGGATAAGGTGAAGATGGTTTGCAGTCTGTAAATTGGAGGGAGTACTCACAGCACAAAGCCTGTGTGGTAGAGTTGAAAAGGTCCTGGATTGTGGGTTACAGGACCTGGCTTTAACTCCAGGCTCTGCCTGGCTCTGTTACCTATATGATGTCAGGTTAGGCACTGAACATCTTTGGGCTTCTGTTTCCTCTTCTGCAAAGTGAAGGGATTGAACAAGATGATTCCTAATGTTCATTCCAGCTCTAGGATTATAATCTATGACAGTATTGAAAGATAAAAGAAAATTTACTGAATATATTCACTCTTTACCTGCCTGTTTACTATGACTTCAGTTGTTTATAAAACGGATTTTAGAAAACAAGGGGAGCAGGGAGAAAATATTTTGGATTTACATGAAATATTCAGTCCCCACTTTACATATTTCAGAAGGATCTCTATTTTGAGAAATTTTTTTTGTCAGTAATGAGGGTACAATGCACCCCATACAGCATGTGTGGAGCTGAGCTAAGCTTGACCACTTCAGCTAGGTGGTTAAGTGGATATGTTGCGGGCTGAGAGGTTGAGAGGCTGTGACCCTCAAAGACTGGAGTACAGGATGGGTTGTCTGGAATGAATTCACAGACTCAAGCATTCTTTAATTCAAGGTGGCGAAGATCACGCTTTTCAGCGGGCAAGGATTCTTAAAGGATCCTGCAACCTTAGAGAGGTGTAGGTAAAGTTTATATAGGATAAAATGCAATAAAACATGTGTCAAATATGCTAACTAGGGGATTCGGGGTGGGATTAGGGAGTGGTTAAGGAGTGGTCAGTTCTCAATTGAAACTCAAGATAAGAAAAGTCCCGTTATTCAAGAGAGTCCCAGACATCCTGGGCCCAGTGATAACAAACAGGAAGAATACTGATCAGCTCTATCTGGTCCTGGAATTTGCTGACACAGGAAGGGGTGTTTTTAGTTCACTCAGAGAGAAAAAGATTAATTTAGGTTTTTGGCCCTTATTGGGGCTCAATTGATCTTAAATGATTATCAAGGGACAGTGTTTCTGAGGCTAGGGAGAAATTGGAGCCCAAGTACAAGCACCCAAACATAAGCACCCAAGCATAAGCACCCAAGCACCCCAACAGATAGTGCTCTGGGCCTGCATTCAGAAAGAGCGGAGTTCAAATCTAGCCTCAGACGCATAGTAGCTGCGTGACCTTGGGCAAGTCACTTAACCACTGTTTGCCTCAGTTTTTTCAACTGTAAAATGGGGATCATAATAGCACTTACCTTACAAGTTTGTTGTGAGATTAAATGATATAATATTTGTACAGCACTTAATACAGTGCCTGGCCCATTATGGGCACTTAATAAATACTTGTTTTCTTCCCTACTTCAAGGGACATATCCTCAGCAGTGAAGGACTTTGGATGACTGGGGACTCCTTTGGTTGCTATGATGGAAACAGGAGGTATATTAGAGACGATTGGTTATTGAGCCAGGAAGAGCTGCCTACTCAGGAGACTTTTCAAGAAGAAACAACTTCCACTCCATCTTCTGAGAGAGTGCTCCCTTGGGCATGCATGATGGAGGGGCCCTTTTCCCCCTCTGTCCTCCCAGAGCAGGGATGGACATCCTCTGACTGCTTCCTGTTGACGATGTTGATTTTTAATTGACTGCTGAACTAGAACTCCCTAGAAAAACTAAAGGGGCCCTTACTGCCCCTCAGGCCTCTTCCTCCCACTGACCTCAAAGTATGAGCATGATTCTCTGAGCTCAGGAAGACAATGACAGGGATGCAAGGCATGAACTCCTGAGCTCCTGACCTCCTAGGCCGCCGGTCAGAGATGGGGATGCCTCCTGTTTGTTTCTTTTGTAAGACCTTGAAATACATCATCTCCCCCTATGTTTTAAGTATCAACTATGCTAGAGTTATGGGTTAATGTTTTGAGTTTTTGTCATTTCATATTTTTATGTTTTAAGCATTTCTTTTGTGATGGGGAAAGAGCTATCCTAACATTGTATTTTTGAGTACCTTTCTACTCCCTTTCAGGGAGGCATGAACCAAATCTAAACTTGAAATAATTTCCCCTAGGGCTTGGTGGAGAGAGCTTAATGCAGGAGTGGGGAACCTTTGGCCTTGAGGCCACATGTGTCCCTCTAGGTCCTCAAGTGTGGCCCTTTGACTGAATCCAAATTTCTTTTTTCTGTAAAGCTTGGATTCAGTCAAAGGGCTGCACTTGAGGACCTAGAGGGCCACTTGTAGCCTTAAGGCCACAGTTTTCCCTACCCCTGTCTTAATGAGTCAGAGTGAGAGAAGGGAGGCTGATAGTTCTCTCAGGAGGTGGGACTTCTCAAAAGCCAAACTTAGCACTTACTGAAGCCTGGAGCTTCAGTACTTTCCTAAGAGAGGGCAAACCCTGTCTACTTTCCCAGGAGCAGCAGGATCTGTGACTCTGCACTTTGCCTTAGTCTCCTGAAATATTAAAATATTATTTAAAAAGATCATGATCAGAATAGTCGCAATTTTCTTTGACCATCACTGTATAACATAGAGAGCATTGGATTTTAAATTAACAGGACCAGAGTTTGAATTCCAGCTCTGCTACCTATGTGACTGTGGGTAGGTAACTCACTTAGCTATTCTGGGTCTGTTCCCTCATTTGTACAATGGGAGAGGCAAGCGGGGAGGGAGTGGGAGTGGTATCCTGACTAAATAATAAGCAAAGTCCCCTCTGGATTGAAATCCCATAGTCCTCCAAAGATTGTTGCTTTATCTCCAAGTTCCTGAGTCTTAGAAGTTATTGGGCAGTGGATACAGCATTCAGAATATACAACTTAGCTATTCAGACACTGGAAACCCATAGTAGATCAAAACTGAGCTGGGACTTAGAATCCAAGACTTATCCTTGCTGTTGCTCACACATGAAGAGATCAAATCAATAAATGGATAGCTAAGCACCTACTAGGCGCCAGGCATTGTGCCAAGCACTGGAGATATAAAAAGAGGCAGAAGATAGTCCTTGCCCTCAAGGGGCTTACAATCTAATGGTGGAGACAATGTGCAAACAAATATAAACAAACAAACTATATGTACAGGATAAATAGGAGATATTTAGCAGAGGGAAGGAACTGGAATTAAGAGGGGCTAGGAAAGACTTCCTGTAGAATGGGGGATTTTAGTCAGGACTTAAAGGAAGCCAGGGAGGCCAGCTGTCAGAATGACGAAGAGAGAGCATCCCAGGTGTGGAGAACAGCCAGGATAGTGCATCTCCCTACTCTGTGCTTTTACTTAGGCTGTGCCCCTTGCCTGAGATGCATTCTATCCTTACCTAGCCTCTAAGAGTCCCTAGTTCCCTTACAAGCTCAGCTCAAACATCACCCCTTACTCGAAACTGTTCCCAATCCCCCTACTAGCACCTCTCCCCCAAATTACCTTGTATTTATTTCTTATTAAAATGCATTTTCTGCTTACTTATTAATGTTCATGCCACATCCCCCAAAAGAACATAAGCTTTTTGAGGACATTGTCCTTATGTCCTTATGTGTTGTCAGCATAGCTCCTGACACATAGTATGTGCTTCATATTAAAAACGAGATAACATATGCCTTGGAAACTTTAACGCACCATTTAAATGCTAGTTATAATACAAATTTCTTGATCCATTGATCAATAATCACACCGTCTCCTTCTAAAGATACAAGGAAAGAAAAATCCTTTCTCTGGATGTACCTTTTCTAATAATCAAATTAAGACCTGGGCTTAAGTGTCCTGATTTCTTGTCCTGCTCCTCCACCTCCTGTCTTCCACTGGGAAACCACTTTGTAGCCAAGTCAAGAAACAGTCTGCCCTTGCCTTAACCTGCTTAAGCTCTGGGGCCTTGAGTACTGAGAGCCTCTTTTCTCTTCCTCCCCTCTCCCACCCCTCCCCCTCTTTCCTGCTCACACACTCACACAAGAACAATGCTACTTTGTGGGTTAGGCAATGGCACAGGTTGCCTATTGGTGGGACAGCTGTCACTCTATCCCCAAGGCCCAAATGATGTGTCCCTGGGGCTGTGATCCCCAGATTACTTTGGTATTTGGGTCTTTTAATTAGCAGCCCAGCATGTTGTAGCCCCTCCTCCCCTACCTGGCCTCTCTTTCTTTTCTTTCTAAATTAGCCCCAAGGCAGCATCCATTGCTTCTATCAGCACAGACCTCATTGACCAGCATTGACCACCAAACAGCTAAGTCTGGAAAATTTAGAGAAAGGGAGCAGCAGGACCAGCATTCATTTTGTGTGCACATGGTAAGTCTATGCACTTGCCCTGCATACACCCTTTATTGGGCATTATAAATCATGCACAGGATTTAAATATCACACAAAATCCAGGCTTTATCAGTATTTCCCATCTTTGTCCCAATCAGCCTGGGCTGGACTAACACACAGGAAAGGTAATGGGAATACGTAGGATGGTACTATGTGGGATAATGGTGTGGAGCAGTGGAAAGAACAATGACTTTTGAGGTAAAGGATCTGGATTTCTCTCTCACTTCTTAGTTTTCTCATCTACAAAAAATGACAGGGCTGGATTGGATGACCTTAAAGCAGGTGTTCTTAACCTGGGGTTTATAACCCCTAAGGAATCTACGGATAGATTTCAGGGAGTCTGTGACCTTGTATGGAAAAAAAAAAACCATTGCATCTTTATTTTCACTAATCTCTGACTGAAAGTTAGTGTTTCCTTTTGTTATTATATTAATAACAATAATAATGATTATAATTTTAAAAACTGACATTATTCCGAGAAGGGGTATGCTGCCTTCACCAGAATGCCAAAATAATCCAGGACACCAAAAAGGTTAGGAAATTCCGCCAATTTTTGAATGTACATGATCTGCTTGGAACAGGTAGTTATAATGGCCAAGCCTTAGGGTATTGGAGCTGGAAGAGAACTATGAGATCACTATAGCCCTTTCAGGTTACATGTGAGGAAACTGAGGCTCAGAGAGGGATCATGACTTACCGAAGGTCGGTACATGCCTGCTAGGAATATTTCACGTTAATACCATGTGAAGAGGTTGAGCTGGTTATTCTAAAGGAGGAAGAGGAAAGGGAGGATGATGGTGAGATTTCAGCAGACCACTCACCCAACTTGCAGTTCAGAGGAGCACACTGAGAATGTACAGGGCATCATATCTGCTCTCTAACCTTCTGGAGCCTTGATAAATCTATTCACTTGCTTTCTGACCCTTTCTTGGTTTTTCATAGTCTGCTAAGGAGTAGGAGTATCATAGGTGATACTCCTTCTTTTTATTTTAGTTTGACAGCCATAGCAAGAGATGTGGGAGGCCCTGAAAACGTCAGCCTGATACTTTGCATGCTCTACTTTTCAGAAAGTTGTGTTTCAGCACAATTCACCTTAATGAAGCCTTTATCAAGCATCTAAGAGCTAGGTGCTAGACTAAAGAAGAGTCTTCTGAGAAGGGAGACAGAATTTAACTGCCTTCCTTAAAGGAAAGAATGTGTTCTGAGGGTATCTTGAAAAGAGCTGAATTAATTAATTCATTCAATATTTATTGAACACCTACTATGTGAAGTTGGGCAAAATAGAATAAAAATGGGCTAAAAGGCTAAAAAAGTCCAAATACTCAACAACATGCTATTGTCTCAGGAAGTTTTAATGAAAACCAGAAGATAATTTGGTTCTTCCCAACCCCTATATTTCTACAACCACCAATTGACTGCTTCTCCCATAATAGATGACATGTGTAGGCCCCAGGTTATGGCAGAAATATATGAACAAGCTAATTGTTTAAATGCTTTTTCCCAGATTACTAAGTTGCAGAAACACACACACACACACACACACACACACACACACATAATTCCTTTTTCTCTATGATGTAAAATGAAGAAACTTCCATTTCCAAACTGAATGTGAATCCAGAATGAAGAATAAAGTTTGACAGATGCCCCACAGGATTTAATGGTTGAAATTAAAATAAAATGTACAGACCTGAATCCTGAGCTTGCTTGTGCCTTGTAAGTGTTAATTTATAACAGAAACTCATAGATAGTTTTATCCTGCAATCAGATGCATTTGGTTACCTGGCAGTCTACTTTCTGGCTCTGGGCTTCTCTTGAGGAGCCCTATGGGGAAAAGATTTTAGGAAGCTAAGTAGTGTGAAGAAAATTTTTCCTTGATTGGTTCTAGACCCTAAGCTTTGGGGATAAGGGATCCAGTCATATCTGAACACTTAAAATGATATATCCCAAGCACCTTATAGTTTAGCTGTAGTTCCCCCTTTCCCCTTAGGGAATTGTAACAGCCGCCTGGTGGTACAGGAAATGTTTGATAAGATTCCAACCCCTATGACATCATTATAACGGTCCGTTTTGGGTGCTGAGGTTTACAAGAAGAGCTCCTGCTTAAGTGGCCAGCTCCAGACAGTTCTGGTTATTCCATGTACATAATTCTTCAGTGAAAGACTAGCTAAAACCAGGTCCCAGTGGCTTCCTCATCTCTAGAGCCAGGGGCCTTGCCTCAAAGCATCTCAGAACATCTGACGGAATGTTAAATTTTAGACTCATATCTCTTATGTCAGGAGTTCCCAAGACTGATTGGTAGATTTGGGCATGGCACAAGGTAGTGGAAAGATCATTGGATATGAAATCAGAAGGCTTAGGTTCAAATTATAGCTTTCACTTTAATAGTTATATGATCATGGTCAATCCACTGAACTTAACAAAATCTCACTTTACTCATCTCTAAAATGTTGTAGGGGCAGCTAGGACTCTGGAAGACCTGGGTTCAAATCCTGCTGCTGATACAAACTGTCTGGAGACCCTGGGAAAATCAATTAGCCACTTAGTGCCCCAGATTACTATCTAAGGCTATATGTTACAGAGGAGTTACTGACCTGCTTTGGTAGGAAGAGTTGGCTTACAGGGAGCTCCCTACAATATAAAATTACAAGTGTGAACCCAAAAAATAAAATAAAATGGGGAGTGATATGGGGGCTGGGTGGTGCACAGGCCCTGGACTCAGCAGGATCTGAGTTCAAATCCGGTCTCAGACACTTAATACTTCCTAGCTATGTGACCCTGGGCAAGTCATTTAACCCCATTGCCTAGCCAACAAATAAATAAATAAATAAAATGAGGGGTGATAATAATACTTGGGTCATTTATTTTACAAGGTTATTTTGAAGAAGGTATTTTATGAACTGTAAGCAGCTAGGTGGCACAGTGGATAGAGCGCCAGACATGGAGTCAGGAAGACTCATCTCCCAGAGTTCAAATCTGGCCTCAGATACTTACTACCCCTGTGACCTTAACTCTGTTTGCCTCAGTTTTCTCATTTATAAAATGAACTGGAGAAGGAAATGACAAACTACTCCAGCATCTTTGGCAAGACAACCCCAAATGGGGTTCTGAAGAGCCAGATATGACTGAAAACAACTGAACAACACTGTATGAAATGCAGAAGCATGGACTGGCTTTGCGATCAAATCTTTCCTCTAATAGTGGTTTTACTTTGCCTTGAGGTACTCCCAGGCTATTCTGTAAGTTGCAAATAAGTTGCTGATCTGCATTGGTAGAGGGAATTTACATACCAAGAGTTTTCTCTTCTGCTAAATTCATAAGTCCAGGTTCCCCTCCCCCTATACAAAGTACAGCATAAATGTGTATTTTTTATTGTTACTATCTAGAAGCCTTACATGGGAGATCACCAAGCTGGCTGTTGCTGCTACTATACCTTCCTCTGGAGGGTTTTTGAGGATCTCTGCCAGGAGAGTACAGTACCTTTATCTACTGTCCCTTTGGCATAGCACTGAAACGGTCAGTAATACCCTCTCTATACTATCAGCGCCACCCCATCTATCCCTGCCCCACTTCTTACTCTCGGTGTTGAGAAAATGAAAAGCCACTTTTGGAAGAAAGGCTGGGAGAAGATAACTTCAGTAGGCAGTATCCACTTCCCAGCAGCGTGCAGGTATCTAGGAAGAAAGCTTGAGTCATTTGGCGTCCTAGGATCTAAAGATGAAGGAAGATGTGAGAGGAAGAGGCCAGGGATGACGGAAGGAAGAGCTTTGAGCCCAGTTTTCTGGCTCTGGTCATTTTCGGTGCTGGCTTGCAGGGTTAGCTGCTCAGCCTAGTCTGATTTCATTGGTAGTCAGCCTTCTCATTGTGGGCTAGCTAATTGTCTATCAGGCAGAGTGCTTTGCTTTCCACCATCTTACTTTCTTCTCTGTCTAGCTGGATCTCATAGGATTTTTCTTTCATTTTTTTCCAGGTATATCTGTTCTCCTTTAATAGTTAAGAAGCTCCTTGAAGACATTAACCTTGTATTATATGAGATACAACAGTAAAGTAACATTTTTTACTTCTTTTGTTTATATGTCACCTGACTTCCCCCTGAATTTCTTTTCTCCTCCTCCCAAAAGCCATCTCTTATAACAAAGAAATTCTTTTTTAAGAAATAAGGGAAGAGAAAAAAAAAGATGAAAATTGATTAATACATCAAAAAAAAAATCTGCCAATTATATAATGTTCTATACCCCTGTGCTTCCCTTCCTTTGCAAAACAGTGGGGTTGTATGATATTTTCTCATATCTCTTCTTTGGGGCCAATTTTTTTTTTAACTTTGCAATATTCATTTTCAATGATTTTGTCAGACTGACTTTTTAAAACAGACATATCTGCATTTATACATTCAAATGAGTTTTGTCTATCAGTGCAGTCACTTCAAGAGGCCAAATGTTCATTTTAGTGACATTAAAATTGCTCAACTCATATTTGGAAGCTCCTCTTTTGAGAAAAGCAGCCTCATTACTCTAAAAGCACATGGCTTATTTGCTGTCATTCCTTCATGCTCGGTATTATGCATCTTAGTTATTAGATGAATATTATAAATTAGGTGGCCTCATTCACCAGATTTGACTCCAAATACCCATTTGGAGTCAAACCCCTACTTAAAATATCAGAATTTACCACCATTGATATTCCACGAATATGCAGTAGGTTCTGAAGGCAGTACTAAGAGTACTAAGAAAGCAACAACATAATAGTGGTGACATGGTTAGCACAGCCTCCCATAGTGACTATTTTTAAGGGTACAGCACTTGTTTGAATGTATAAGTTCTGATACATTTGCTTAAAAATAAGTCACTTTGTCATATTACTCTGTACCTTGGTCTCTTATATCTCTCTTACCCCCACCCCTAGTGCCTAGGCAGTGCACAGTACATACTAACCACTTCATAAATACATGTTGGTTGACTGGCCTTCATGCGATCAGGGTTGTCTAAAGTAGTTGTTAACGTAAGCTATTCCCTTTCCCTTCTTCAACAACCCAACTCGATACCCAGCTGGGTCCCTACATATGGGCAGTGGGAGTTCAAGAAACTCTTATCTTGAGGGCCTGGGAGTTTTCCTTGCATCTGCTAGCCACTGACTCTGTGGCTGACCGACTCTTTGGGTCTACCTGAGGAAGAAAATAACCCTAGTCCTAGAGACAGCCCAGAAATTAAGCTCCAGCTCTCTCTTCTCTCTTCAATGCTTTCTCCCCCTCCCTCTGAAGTGCCCTGAAGTCTCTACTCCTACCACCTGCTCCTTTTGCTCTTTGCCTCTGGGGAGTAATTTAAAGAAAACACTTGAGCTTTGGTCAATCAGGAGTTCCTAGGTTAGGCCATCTTTAGTTGCCAAGGGAAACCTTCCTTCTCTCTCTGAGCCTATCCCCCCTGAAGAGAGGGGGCCATTGTTCTGAGCTTGAATAGGCCTCTGTACAGCTGCCCTTCTCTCCAGTGGTGCTATGCTGCAAATAATTAATAAACATTTGCTCAAACTATTAATATTTAGGCCTATGGAAAAAGATCTGAGGGGGTCTAACGGCTGCTTTTATTCCTGGGCTGGTTCCATCTGCTCAGGACCCAAGGTTTTTCTGATTTCTTCCATGGACTGGAAGTGAATGGATTCCTAGGCAAAGCCATCAGTTTGCTCCTTTCAAGGTAGCCTTACATATGAGCAAACTCCTGGGCCTTCCCCAAACCAGTCTGATACCATCTGGGACTCTGGCTTGCCTGGTGTGCTACAAATTTCTGGATACTCGGATGTTATCTAGTGATAGGCTAAAAGCCACTAAAACCAGGAGTTCAATTTTCTTTTTAAAAATTGATCCCCTTGAAAGCAAGTTGAGTGCACACACATTCATACAGATATATACACATTTCAAGAACTAGGGCAGGATATATACTATGTAGTATAAATTATATATACATATATATACAATATATTAAATTATATATATAATCTAGTTTTTAAAATGACTATTACTTTATTTGATATAAAAGATATATAGCTATGTGATATATATTATGTATGCTATAAATCATACTATATATGTACTGTATTACATATAGATAGATATTGAGGAATAGGAGAGAACAAAAGAGGGAAGGAGAGAAGGGAAGCAGAGTGAAACAAGAGAGAAAGAGAGAGAGGAGAAAAGAGAGAGAAGAGAGAAAGAGGAAAAGGGGGGGAGAGACAGAGAGAGAGAGAAAGAGAAAGAGAGAGAGAGAGAGAGAGAGAGAGAGAGAGAGAGAGAGAGAGAGAGAGAGAGAGAGAGAGAATCTATCAGTGTTATGGGAGAGGATTGTTTTTGAAAGATAGTGAAAAAATGCCCAGCACTTAGATCAGCCCTCTTACATTTACCTTCCACACCAGCTATCTTTTCATCTCTTTTCTCTTTTCTCCACTTGCTTTCACTCCTTGGTTACCAATGCTTTCCCAGGTCCCTTTACCTTCTTTAAAAAGGTTGAAAATCCTAGTGGTTTTGAGTTCTGATTTCAATCCCACAAACATTTATGACGCACCACCTTTGGGCAAATCACTGGGGGACAGATGCAAAGAAAAAAGAGATAAAAAAAGAAATAGTTATTACACTCAAGAGCACCTTCTATTGGCCAAGACTCTTTCCAGATAATTCTAGAAACTCCATGTAGGGTTGCTCACTTTATTGCTAAACTACTCATGAAGAAGAAGCACCCTTATTTTCCTGGTGGAATGAACATGATTTTGTATTTGTCAGGAAAAAAAAGAATTTTAAAATAACATTACCTTATAGAAAATGAAAAGTTAGGAAATGAGCTCAGATGGAGCAGCTCACTGTAGAATACTAGAGACTTGGTCATGGCAGAATGCTTTTATATAAATGCTTACCTGGAGGAAAATGTCAATGCGTGAATAATTAGGAGCATGCCTTATGCCCACTACCACTGTCCCCATCCCATCACTAGAAGTCTCAACTGGATCAGAAAGGCCAGGGCTACTCTTCCTTCC